TTTATTTTGCTCTAAAAATATGCATTAAAGACAAAAAGTATAAGAAAGTCAAATTGAAAACCAGTAAGAAAAGCTCAAAAGTCGGGCGGAGCCGACTATATATGGTACCCTACACCACTATGCATATTTAGTAGAGCTCTCGTAAAAGAAAGGTTTATATTGGGTTTTCTGAGCTCTATGAGATATCTGGTACAAAATATGATTATGGTAGAGTGCATATTCCGAATGTTGGAGATTTAAACACAAAATCGGATGAAACATATATATGGGAGCTATAGCTATATCTGAACCGATTTCCACCAAATTTAAAGTACTTACTTCTATACTAAATCCGGTCGGAAGTGCCAAAATTCACACCATTTGGACTGATATTAGCCATGTGGTGCAGAAGACACTTAAAATCGGATAAAGATATATATGGGAGCTATATCCACATCTGAACCGAACTTGATAAAATTTGATCTAGGAATTGCTAGGCTGTATCTAATATCTGGTGCTAAATATCAGTCTTGTGGAGTGCATATAACGAATGTAAGGGACTTAAAAACCAAAATCGGATGAAACATATATATGGGAGCTATAGCTATAACTGAACCGATTTTCATTTGAAGCACATGCTTGTAGGCTGAATTTGGTCGGATGTAGCAAAATTCACACCATTTGGACTGATATTAGCTATTTGGTGCACAAGAAACATAAAATCGGATGAAGATATAAATGGAAGCTATATCTAAATTTGGACCGATTTTCACCAATTTCGATAGGGTTCGTCCTTGGGCAAATGTAATTTAGAAAATTTCATCTCAATCGAATAAAAAATGCGACCTGCATTTTGTTTACAAAAATACGTGGACAGACGAACGGACATGCATAAATCGACTCAAAATGTGATTCTATGCTGATCACCAAAAGGAACTATGGGTCTATCTCGTTTCCTCCTCTATGTTACAAACAAATGCACAAAGACATAATACCCTTACTACTATGTGGTGTAGGGTATAAAAATGCATGCAATACAAAACCAATAAAGAAAGTCTTAAAGTCAGGCGGGCCGACTTTATGATACCCTACACCAATTTGAATATTTAGTAGAGCTTCACATAACAAATAAAAGTTTTAATGGAATTTGAGAGAATTAAATCATCACTATGATTATGTAATAATTAAAAGCCCAAAGGAAATAATATATGGAAGGAATATCCTCCTCTGAATCGATTTCTACTAATTTGTCGAGGCATTTACGCCTTTTTATTTCGGACTTGTACTATCCATTTGGTCAACAATTAACTTGAAATCGGATAGATATATATGAGAGATATATGTAAATCCGAACCGATCTCGATAAAATTTGTCAAAGGTATTTCTGACTGTATTTAATATATTTCCCCGAATATCGTTACTACGAAGTCCATATTACGGCTATGCAGGGCAAATTCAACAAATCGGATGAACAATATGTATGGGAGCTATATGTATATATAACAATATGTATTGGTCGTAAGTACCAAATTCCATTCCATTTGGGCTAATTTTTCACCTTTGGTGCACAATAAAAGACAAATCGGACGAAGATATATATGGGAGCTATATCCAAATATTAGCCAATCTCGATAAAATTAGGAAGGGTATTTCTGAGTTATATTTGATATATTTCCCCAAATATCGTTGTCACAGAATGCATATTACGGCTGCGGAGGACAAATATAATCAATCGGATGAACAATATATATGGGAGCTAATCTATATCTGAACCGATTTCAAATTTGGCGTACTTATTTTCAGGTCCAATCTGGTCGTACATGCAAAATTCCATACTTTTTGGGCGGATATTGCAAGATTGGTGCACAATATAAAGCAAATTGGACGAAAACATATATGGGAGCTATACCTAAATTTGGACCGAATATCTCCAATTTCAATAGGGTTCGTCTTTGGGTCAAACAAATTTTTTGTGCAAAATTTCATCTGTATCGGTATATTTGTATGCTATTTTTTGGTTTTATTTTTGGTCATCCAAAATCCGTGTCGATTTGCTCCTGTATCTCCAGATTTAGACTCATCTATATAATTTGCATCTCTACGATATTTGGCTATATTCGTCAGCAAAATCAGCATGAAAAAACCAGAAGTTCTCCATTTGTGTATTTCGGATATCTCATGTAAGTAATGCTGGTATTTTTCACACAAAAGTAGTGGTCCATTCTACCCGCTGTTCTAAACTATAATTTCATGTGAGATTTCTTGGCCTTTGGTTTTTATTTGTGACCTTTATAACGGCTGCACAATCAGGAATATTTTTAGTTGTTGGTCCCTTTCAACCCCTAAATATATTACGGACATCTTTGAAAACAATAGGCCTAGCCCTTGTGAGCCTAACTCTTGTGAAAATTTTCGTGAAGATCGGACGATAATTGCAATCTGTATATAATAACCCCAACCTAAATATTACAAAATGAAAAATATTACAAAATGTACACTTCAATATTATAAGTCAAATTGAAAAAATCGCATGCGATAAAGAATGAAATATGTCACAAAATCTATTTTAACATCATTATTGGCAACTTTTTATAGGTTTTTTTTACATTTTATACTTTAATGCTGAATTCACAAAATTTATCGAAATCGGTCCAGCCATTCTTGAGATATAAGCATACTAGCTAACATCCCCTTCCTTTGTATACACACATTGTATCCTTTTGGCGATATATATCCGATATATTTACTATCGGCATCTACGTAAAGGTCAGAATTGTGATTTCGCCGGGATTAAGAATATTCGCGAACTGTAGAGTGATTACAAGTTAACATGGACAAACGGACGGACATACATAGCTAGATCGACTAAGCTCGGCGATATAGGAAGATCCATGCATACTTTCCTATGTGATAAACCAATATTTCGAGGTGTTACATAATTTTTGGCCCAATCAAACTTATTACCGCCCACACATAGTGTTGTATGGTATAAAAACACTGTCTTGAAATGTTTAGCTTTGTATCAAAATATTTTTGTGGCATCTTCCACAAATGTATTTAGTTATGTACCGAATATTTTTAACAGGATCTGTTTTTGTATGAAACATGAAGGTTAAGAGTTCAATTTTTCTAGTCAAACCCAACATTTTGTCTGCATCCATTTATTATATCCATTTCGGAACACACGTACTTTTCACAATTTTCTGTTGAACGAAATATACATTTTCCTCAACACTGCAAAAAATATCACCTATCAATCGGTAAAAACAGCAGAATATTTTAGCAACGTTATTTAAGATAGATGTTTAATTACCTGGCCTGGACAACAGGAGTACTCTCTTTAAAAAAGGTATATATAATTACCGTAGCGTTTAACATATTTAGACAAGTTCCAATTTTGGTAGTGTAGAACTTTTGACTACCATTGAAGACAAGGACAAAACACTGATGATTTTTGGTGGGATCATCTATCTACCTACAACCCTACATAACAAGTTTCAGTGGTAAAATACCAACGGTCTTAGACCCTAGTTTCAGGACATTTGGAGTCGATCCAGCGATGTCCGTCCGTCCGTCGGTCTGTGTGGTTGGTGCGCACAATAACTCTCGAAGGGAGTATCCGATTTGGTCCAAACTTCATATATTGTAATATTATTATCAAACTTAAATAGTGTTCAAAGATGGGCAATATCCTTCTGGTAACCACCCCCCTCCCACAAAAACTCGAACTTTTCAAAACAAAAAAAAAACTATTACACACAAAGAGAAGGGCTAATCCGATTTTTTTCCAACTTTGCAATTCCAAATATTTGCATCAATGCTAGGTCAGATGCGGAAATTGACAATATCGGGTCAAAACTTGAAATAGCTATAACTCTTTTCATATTACACACATCGCAATATTTTTATTAGCCCAAGGTCTGGTGTGAAAATGGAATATATAGGTCCACCCTAACCGAAGATCTGCTGTGAAGAAGGGATATATCGGTCCACTCCATCTGGTATCTCTCCACTCCAGGAAGCTCATAAAGCGTAAAATTAGCACCGATTCCATTCAGACTTGGTACATCTAAATATTTATATCAATACAATATCTGTTATCATTCCTTCTGGTACCTCATCCACAAAGGGTCACAATTTTCAATACTTTTATCTGCCATAACTTGCGAAACATATAAGCGATTCTTTACAAGTTGCTATATCTTAATATTCCTCTCAAACAGAAACATGAAATGAGTATGGCATTTATCCGAATTTATGATTTCGCATAAAATTGGATATAAATGTTTAATTTTCTTGTAATATTGTCCATACCAACATTTTTATCTGTATTAGATGAAGTCTGAAGAGGAAATACTTCGGTCGACTAAATCTGGTACCTCACCCACATTTTAACGTTTTCTTAAAATTATCATATATCTCATATAAAGTGATCATATTCCTATCATATTTATTTACGTCCGATACGAAATGAACAATATCGGCCCATTCCCCCATTTGAATAATCATAACAGAAGTCAATATATATTTAAATAATCGAACATTGCCCAAGGGTATACATATCTCGACAAAACCCACTTTTTCACTTGTTTTTTTATAAAAATGAATATTAAACGCAAAACAAAAATCAAAAACCATCAATATTGGTAAATTAAAGATAAAAATTAAAATAAGACTTTGACCTTAAACTTATCTACAATCATTGTACCTTCTATTACAGAATACAAGAAAAACGATACGATTTTATCTGTCCAAGAATAAAAAGAACAATTTTGATATCTTACTGTTCGAAATCTACAGTATATTCAACAAGGAAATAAACCTGAGCACTGTGCGACAATACAATAAATAAAAAAACAGACAGGCCTACAGATTTTTATTGATAATTATATTGTTACCGAAGTCTACTGCGGACCACTTGTTAGAACCCAAACGGTTAGAGTTCTTTGACAATTCAACACTACAACTATTATTCTATTTGGCATTGACTCTTTTAATCACCATAGCAGAAGTTGACTTACTTGAGTCTGCGATAGACAGATGCATTCTAATGGGCAGGATTTGGATGTTTCTATTAGCTGTGATTTCAATATGCAACTCAGTGTGACCGCAATTGCCAGAAGCCATAAATTGATCATTTTAGTGTTAAATTTGTTTCGGATATTTTTTTCTTCGTGATTGAAAACGAACACCGTTAGCAATGGACATATCACGTCACTGTTTCACTTTCAAATTAACCGATTCACATACGTAAACGACGTGGTAGTGGTCGCTTCACTGATTCCTTCTGTGCAGTGGAGGGCTTCCGTATCCGTTACCGTTGCCCATCAAATTCAAATAATAACTGACGGGATTCCGCGTTGTTTACATTTACCAATGGAATTCCTGTAAGACAAAAGCCGGTAATCGTTATTGTGATTTTGTCACACATTCCAGTCGGAGGAAAGGCACACAGAAATTTGTTACGGTCGGATTTACGGACTCTCGTGAACTCTTCGGTTTCACATTCTCATATGAGTGGGCGCATGCACCAAAAAAGCTCACACTCCCGCTCTCCGAAACAAACCGAAACACATGCTTGGCCTATATGGGAACATGCGGAATTGAAATTGAAACCAGGAACAATTTACTACAAGTGGAACCGCAATTCGAAGTAACTAGACTTTTACTTTGAGAGAATTGCATCGAAATATTGACGCACCATGTCCCGTATCGGGGAGAGTATTTGTTTGTGGCGTTGGTAGGAACTTTTAGCGCCAACGACATATTCTATTCCAATTTCCGCCGGAAGAAATTGTTTAGAACATATTACGGCATTTTATGCACTCTGGTGCAATGTTCGGAAAGTTTTTCCCTCAATTAAAGCAATTTCCGCTTGGCTTATTGAAAAGTTCTCATTGAATGTCAAGTCAATATAAATGTTTTAGTTTTTATTTATTTAAAATCCACATTTAATTGCCTTGTAAACTCGCACAACTGAATTGCAAATTTTGGATATTTTTAAGAACCCACATAAAGACGTCTGATTACAAGTAATTAATATGTATATGTACGTGTCTATGATATTGTAGGCTTCTCATTTAAATGTCGTCATAGCTGTATTAGATTCTTATACTCTATACACCGCGCATGGTAAAATAAGTTCAAGATAACGTTTGGGCTTTAATTCTTTCCTTATGCACCTTGATGTTAGGGATATAATTCTTTTATGCTATTTTATACTGTTACTAATGAAATCAGTCAAGAAGATAAAATAAGTAATTTTTCCATAAACTTAATTAATTGGTTATATATCTTATATGTTGCCCTCATAAACATATATCAAACGAATAGCAATGTTAACAGTCCTGGTTTCTCAAACAATTAGATTCTTGAAGTAAAAAAATTCGTTAAGTCCAAGCTGGCCAACCTTGTGATAACCTCTAGCATTTGAAAAGTAACACTTTTAGACAAAAAAAACGTCTTAAAGACTGATGTACATTATTCAGAAGTTATTTCTGTTGGAACTTGCGGTACAAAATCAATTGAAATAACGAATAGCGGAACACTGGTAATGACAACGGCATTAGGCAAATACTATGACACATACTGTGGTTCAGAATCAAATTTTCTGTAACTTTTCAACTTATAAATTTATACAGGATGTTCGGTTGTTGTAGAGAAATTCAAGGTCAAAGTTCATAATTTCATATTTTAAATATTTTGCATGAACACATGAGTTTTTATACCCTACACCACATAGTGGTAAGAAGGAAACGAGATAGACCCATAGTTACTTTTGAGAACCTACATAGAATCACTTTCTGAGTCGATTTATCCATGTCAGTCCGTCTGTCCGTCCGTCCGTCCGTCCGTCTGTCCATGTATTCTTGTGAACAAAATGCAGGTCGCATTTATTATCCGATTGAGATGAAATTTTCCAAACAATATTTTTTTGGCCCAAGGACGAACCCTATTGAAATTGGTGAGAATCGGATCAAATTTAGATATAGCTCCCATATATATCTTCATCCGATTTCGGGTTAAATGTGCACCAAATGTCCACTATCAGTCCAAATTACCTGAATTTTGGCACACCCAACCGAGTTTGGCCTAGAAGCAAGTATATCAAATTTGGAGAAAATCGGTTCAGATATAGCTATAGCTCCCATATATATCTTTCATCCGATTTGATCTTTAAGTCCCACACATTCCTACTATGCACTTCACAACCGTGATATTTGATTATTTGATTATTATATTAGATGGAGCACAGAAATAGCTGTTTTAAATTTTATCGAAATCGGTTCAGATTTGGATATAGCTCCCATATATATCTTCATCCGATTTCGGGTTAATTGACCACCAAATGGCCAATATCAGCCCAAATGGCCCGAATTTTGGCACATGTGACCGAGATTAGCCTTAAAGCAAATACAACAAATTTGGAGAAAATCGGTTCAGAAACAGCTATAGCTCCCATATATATGTTTTATCCGATTTGGTGTTTAAGCCTCTCACATTCGTAATATGCACTCCACAAGAATGATATTTGGTACCAGATATAAGATACAGCCCAGAAATAGCTGTGTGTAATTTTATCGAAATCGGTTCAGATTTGGATATAGCTCTCATATATATCTTCATCCGATTTCGGGTTAATTGTGCACCAAATGGCCGATATAAGTACAAATGGACTGAATTTTAGTACTTCGGACCAAATTCAGTCTAGAAGCAAGTATATCAAATTTAGTGAAAATCGGTTCAGGTATAGATATAGCAACCATATATATATTTCATCCGATTTAGTGTTTTAGTCCCTTACATTCGTAATATTCACTCCACAACCGTGATATTTGGTACCAGGTATTAGATGGAGCACAGGATTAGCTGTTTTAAATTTTATCGAAATCGGTTCAGATTTGGATATAGCTCCCATATATATCTTCATCCGATTTCGGGTGATTGACCACCAAATGGCCGTAATAGCGCCGAAACCAGCTTAGAAGGAAGTACACCAGTTTTAGTAAAAATCGGTTCAGATATAGCTACAGCTCCCATGGTGTAGGGTATCATATGGTCGGCCCCGCCCGACTTTTGAGCTTTCCTTACTGGTTTATATATGTCTATTTATTAACAAGTAAAATAGTATCAGTCGGTTTTGCCGACAGATGTATACCCCCAGCCTTGAGTTTTAAACGATTATGATTTGGACTATATCGACTACTTCTTGTACTTTATATGAGATATGTGCACATTTTCGGAAAATGGAAAAAATAGATATAGCGGACCGAAGTATTCCATTCATCTAATACAGATAAAATATATTGGTAAAATTTGAAGGAAATCGAACAATCGTATCCAATTTTATGCGAAATCATAAATTCCGACAAATTACATACTCATACCAGAATACTGGTTAAGAGAAATATTTAGATATAGCAAAGAATCGCCGACTTGTTTCGCAAGTTATGACAGTTATAAGTTGGCAGATGTATATCATCATCACAACAGATCTTGTGTTAGAAATAATGTCTGTATGTGGGAAATTTGAGGAGATGGATGGATGCATTTGGATGTTTTTTTCTTTGAGCGTTTTGTTTTTAAAAAGCTTGAACCCTATGTGGGGAGGTACCAGAAAAAATGGGCCGATCTCTACCATCTTTATAACAGATCATGTGTCGATGAAAATAGAATCGGGTGTTAATTTTGCGTTTTACGAGCTTCATGGATACTCAAAATTTTGACCCTTTGTGTGGGAGGTACCAGAAGGAGTGGACCGATATATTCCATCTTAACACCAGATCTTGGGTTAATATAAATATTGGGATGTGTGAAATTTGAAGACAATCGGAATCTTACATCACATTTTATGAGGGTTGTAATTATTTAAAGTTTTGACGCTTGTAGGGTAGGTACCAGAAGGAGCCTACCGATATTGTCCATTTTCACACTTGACCTAGTACTGACGCAAATGTTGAGACCTGCAAAGTTTGAGCTAAATCGGATTATCGTTTCTCTTTCTGTGCAAAAAATATTTTTTTAAATTTCGACCATTTGTGAGGGAGGTACCAGAAGGAATGGACCGATATATTCCATCTTAACATCAGACATTGGGTTACCATAAATATTGGCTTGTGTGAAATTTGAAGATAATCGGGCTCTTATATCACATTTTATAAGAGTTGTAATTATTCAAAATTTTGGCCATTTGTGGGGGAGGTACTTGATGGAGTGGATCGATTTTGTCCATTTTCACACTTGACCCAGCACTGACGCAAATATTAAGATTTGCAAAGTTGGAGCAAAATCGAATTATCATTTCTCTTTCTGTGAAAAAATATATTTTTTGTGGGAGAGACAGACGGACGGACAGACATCGCTAGATCGACTCGAATCTACCAAGAATCTTTATTTATTTATACATTTTGGATGTCAATACAACTGGCATTAAATGCAAAGTAAGCAATAAAATACTTCAGCCAATAGGGTTATTGACTTGCTTAAAATAAACACTGAAACCAAAATTATATTATGTCAGTTATATGCAGACTAGAACAGAACTATTAAATAACAAAGACTAAAAATATTAAAAAAGTTATGTTCTTTTGAATATACATAATTTAGAGCCACTCCCACTTTCCCTAATATATATATATTATATATATTTTATTTATTTTTTTTATTTATATATATTCTTGATCAGCATAAAATTCTATGTCGCTTTAACGATGTCCGTCCGCCTGTCCGTCTATCCGTCTGTGGAAATCACTCTAGCTTCCGAACGAATTGAAGTACATTGATAAAATTTTATTGGAATGTATATTATGTCTGCAGGACTTTTGGTATTGAAAATGGTCCGATATTCGGTATTTTGATGATTTTAGCGACATTACTTACCGGGATTGTTTCAAAATTGGTATTTGAAGTTCGTAATGGATACTACACCACAACACAGAAAATGGGCCATGTAGGTCCACTTCCTCGTATAGCCCCCATATAACGGTCCGATATTGGGTATTTTGATGATTTTGGAGACATTATTTACCAGAACTATTTCAAATTGGCAGAAAATTGTCTGTGCAGGTCCACGTCTTCGTATAGCCCCCATATATCGGTACCCCCGATATTCAGTATTTTGATGATTTAAGCGACATTATTTACCGAAACTATTTCAAATTTGATATTTGAAGTTCGTAATGGATACTACAGCCTACGACAGAAAATGAACCATGTGGGTCCACGTCTTCGTATAGCCCCCATATAACGGTACTCCTCGATATTCAGTATTTTGATGATTTTAGCGACATTATTTACCGGAATTATTTCAAATTGGCAGAAAATTGTCTGTGCAGGACTACGCTTTATA